TTGGCTGTGAATGACAAATATGATCTACAATGAAAATATCAAGTATGATGTTTGTAATAGAAATATTTTAAGAATTGTGCTTTCTTGTAGTACTTGAACATTGAGATGAACTATGAGATGACAATACCAGAAGCGGCCCCAACTTTATTTTAGTTAAAGAGCGCCGGTGTAAACAGACACTACAATGTCATTTGTGCAAATTAGACTTAAATATTGTATTTCATTTACCATTACGCTGATAAAAGGGGGTATTTTTACACTCGGATCTCACAGCTTTAGTGGCTGGCTGCTAATGTTCTTTGTCTCAGCACTTTTCCTGGCATCAGTGAACACATGCTTTCAAGTTTTCAACGAGCCCGTTCCTTGATGCTGTGTGCTCTTGGGGCAATGAAGTGATAGTGGAAGCTCCTGCATCAAAGCGTGTAAAACAACATACTCCTCACTCATGTGCTCACAACATTCTCTCCCATTCAGGCAGAGGTCCAATGCCTCCCTCACTTTAAGAAGAGAATGAATCTCATCAAGAATCTGCTATTCTAATCTGTATCTCCTCTAAGCCTGAGTCACAGCTGGGTCGGACATTTGTTTTCATACAGGTGTAAAATGCAGCACAAATTCCAGTGAAATATTAGAGTTATCAATAGGATAGAAGATCGTCTCTAAAGTGAAATTTCCCACTCAACAGGACACAACACAAGTGATCTAAGGGCAAAAGGACAAATATGCATGGATGACTATCAGTTATACTGATGGACAAGTACATTTTATGAAAAATATATTACCAGAAAAATCTGTTTAATCCCTTTCATCCTCGACTGAAGATCAAACCTCAGCCTTCCAATCTGTATAGGTAATAGGTTTTGGTGTCAGGCAATAGTACCACTACATAAAGCTGCGTTCAGACCGACTACAACCCTGCATGAAAAAACGCAGCCCTCTCATTCATTAGAATGAGACCAGTCCGGTGGCAGGGGTGCCAATGCAGACAGATTTGGCAAAAACACAGGATTGTCTGGCAAGCTTTGCTAATTAAACTTTTGCCGGACGCAACATCATCCAGGAAGGCACTGCCATGGCCAATCAAGTGAGTGGATGCACAGTTTCCTGCCAGATGACTTTCTCTGATAAGTCTTGAAGGTTCTGTTCCTCAAAAACCTCCCTCAATTGTGTTGTTTCACATTTTCATGCAAGCATGCTCACAGTGACAATGCTATTATGCTACGTAAGAGTATTAGGGACACATTTAAGTTACTATTTTGCATTTTGAGTCAAAATGTGGAGAAAAAACTTTTGAGATTGACATTGGACATTTTGAGATTAAAGCTAAACTTTAGAGAATAAATCAAACCAGGAGAATTAGAGCATATGGCTGCCTCATATATACACACACATATTTATGTGTGACCTGTATATATGCTGGCATTATACTCAACAACAGCAAGAAAAATGTCCTGAACTGGACTAGAATTTATGTATTAAATATAAATTTTGTTTTTAGAGCAGCAACAGTAACGTCAGCAAAGTTATAAATTCAATAAATCTAAAAAAAATCACCAATCTAAAATGTCAGAAAAATAAATCATATTCCTGACATTGTACGGATGTCATATGATAAGTGTTGCTAGCAGTGGTTGTATTGATGGTTTTAGTTGCTATGTTGTATAGATGGGAGCCTACTGAACAAAAAACGAGTATTGGCAGATTAACTTCATCCATTGCTCGCTTGGGAGGATGCCCGGAGCGACTCTGCGCTGACGCACAGAAAATGGACACACAGATAGATTTGCAAGAGATAAAGGAGTTGACTTTATTCTCTACATTTAGAGTTTATTCTCGACAGTTTGACTTTATTCTCGAAATTCCAAAAAAAAGTCTGTCTTTATTTTTTGTGCTGTTGTTCAGCGTACCATGTTCACTATCCTTTTTTAGCTTATTAGCATTCTAACATGTGCCAATTGGCACTGAACACAGAGCACAGCGATGTCATTAGTTTTGTATTGGACAAATTAAAATTTGACTTGATGGTGGCGAGGGGGGAGAGATGAATGTCCCAATTGTTAACCTTGTGAAACAACATTCAACAACATTCAAATCAACACAATAGACAACTTCCCATATGGGTCTGTGTAAAAAACCATCTGTCACAGTCAGGTCACCCAATATAGTTGTTGAGACTGTTAAATCGCAATTAACAAGAAACTGTAGCTTCTTCAAAAAATAATAATATATAATTAATTAAAATATATGAATATACTATTTATGACACAGAGAATAGTCCCACAGTCAGCATTAATGATACTGTTCCTGTGCAGACTGTACTCTACAAATCCCTTATTGTACATCTGGCATGAAAGATTACAGTTCAGTAGGAACATCAGAGGAGTCAGCATCCGGCTTTGTAGGATGATAGTTTTGCAGGGACCTGTTCTGTGTATTGATCTGCTCATGCAGCATTCCCTCCGCTTGAAGTGAGAATTTGCCTCTGATCTGAACCAGCTTTCAAGTGGGCAAAAACAACCTCAAACAATCTGACTCAAAGACACTTTTTTGTAATGTACATCAAGAGCACAGCAGAGTACGCAGATAAAAAAATGGCAAGCCTGCAGAGCTAGTTCAAAGTATAATGATTTCCTCTTGAATGGCCTTCTGAGCTACCCTTAATTCTGCTGAGATGCATTCGAGATAGGAACTGATGCAGAATCAAAATTGTTGGGAAGGATTTCAAATGCTCCATGAAATAGCCCTCTGATGAATTTCCAAGCAGATCTTAATTCTAGATCAAACTATTTCAAGAACTACTTGTGAGCAATTTGTTAATGAATAATGTTATTTCTATAAAGATAATATTGCAGTCACACAATATAAAATGCTTGACTAACACGGAAGTGACTGCAGCACAGGTTAATGTTTTATACCGGGAACCAACAACAGTTTGACATGCAGCAGAGAAATAGATTCTCTCACTTTCTAAATAGCTTGTTGTTTCATAAAATGTGAAAAACAACACAGTATGAAACACTTGTAACTAACACTTTTTAAGGAGAGAAACGTCTGACTCTCTGGTCCTGGGGGTAGTTTGGGTATTTGTTTTTTTTTTTATATTCATGTGTGACTGTAAGTGAAAAGCGAGACTCAAGGAGAATTTAAAGAGGAGTAAAAAGTTAAGCCGTACAATTTGTCTGTGCAATAGACCAACAAGGGTTTATGCTGGATTTTCATGCCGCTGCTGAATCAACATTAAGAATGCAAAAGTCCATTTCCAAAACTGCAAAGTGTGTAATACGTCACTCTGGCCACATTTTGTAAAGCTGGTATATCAGTAGTATTCTTGGTATTTGCAGCTCGTTGCGTTGAGTGCTTATCAGTAACACTAATTCACAGTTTGTGCCGGGCTGAAGCAACATCCCTAGAATATCCCTCTGTTGGGATCTCAACGTTGGCACATAACGTATAACCTCCATTAAAAGCCCGGGCTTTTATTTGCTTGAACTCACTCTGCCTTTATTCTGAACAGCCTTTAATTAATTTTGCACAAAACTCTCAGTACACATGGGAAATACTGTCAGGTTGTTTTTTTAAAGCAGTATGACTATTGCTTGTATAAAAATTAGAATAACACATCAATTATGAATCATTCACTTGATCATTTGATACTTTTGATACTACATTTGATGCTTGTGGTTGAAAATTAATTGAGGGACTGATTTGTGCAGAATCAAACCGATCTAACGATGTGTCCACATTGACAGAAGGTAAAATGTTTCTGTTTGTGTACGCGATCCAAGCAGCTTAAAACTCCTTCTAGCGGACTTTAAGAGGTTTTATACATCTAAAGATTTCTATAAAATCCAGGCCTCTAATTGAGACTTGCATGTATTTGTCAAAGCCACACCACGCTAGTAGAGGGGACCTGCATCTAATTGGGACAGAGCTTTTAGTTGAAGTTTTAGGGTAAATTGTTTTACTGCTGATCATTTATGGGGTTTATTGTTTTTAGGCAATAGATTTAAGGTAAGACAAAGACACATTTGCTGCTGGTGGGACAATAAAGTTCTATTTAGGGATGCTCAATATAGATTTTTTTCAGCCGATATGATAACTGATAATTACCTGCTTCCCATGGCTGATACTGATAAGATAACTGATAAAGTCTCTCTTTTTTTTGTATAGTTTTTACACCCCTGCTGGCAACAAAAGCTGAGATTTAGTGAGAAAAGACAGAAGATTTAATAACAGTTCACAAAAAATGGTTTTATATGATAAAAAATTTTTTTACCCAATTTCTCTCCCCTTAATATTCTCCTCCCCCCTTTTTTTTTTTTTTTCTTTCGAACTCACTGTTATATAAAAGATACTCTTTGTATCAATAAGTAATGCTAAGGAGTGAATATATTATATATATATATATATATATATATATATATTATGCATTCAACTGCATCTTCATTAGTGTCAGTGTTTTGTGAAAGAAGTGTTAGATAATGTGCTGTTCACTCCAGACAGTTTGGCAGCAAGCTGCCAAAAAGACATCTTGAAGATCATCCAAAGTCTAATTAAAAGATTTACATTTCAGTAGTGCTGAGCAGAGCCAAGAATGACAGGGTTCATCTCAGCACACTAAAGTTTAACACTGACTATAGAAAACACAGATCATATTAAGTATCATATCAGTCTCCTCAACCAGATGTTCAATATTAGTGTTTCACCAATTAGACGAGATTTCCTGCTGTGAACCAAGAACAAATCCGCACTCTAATCTGAATGACACTCAACAGTCTCGTGTAAATGACTTTTATCAGCATGAAAGTTCTCTGTAATCCAGCCACACAGAGAGCACAGGGGTTTGAAAAACTCACCTCTGTTGTAGCTTGTCTCGTTCAACATGCACTATGAGAGCAGACCCAGCAGAGCAGGAAACAAACATTCAGAAAGCATGCCCTGTCTGTCCATACTGCGTATTTCAACAGGCTGACAGATCAAAGCAGAGAAAAGGTTCAGACCTGAACTGTAGACTGGAGCTCAGCATCCACTTCCCTGCGTGTCGCCTTCTCCTCCGCTGCCTCTGCCTCCGAGCTCGAATGATCTCATCGGGGCTGATTTCTCTTTGCTGCCGTTAACGTGTCAACGCTGTCGCTGCCATTCATACATGAATGCTGCGTCCCTGAATGAATGAATGGGCTTTACAGGTGTACATGTCGGGAAAGCACTCCAGAGCTCACGCTGCGCTCCAGTGCTCACAGACTGACTGAGATGTGGGAGAAGAGGGGGCAGCTTATTTTGCACTAAAACCTCCCCCCCCCTCCCCTCCCGTTGCTCTTCCTCTCCCTGTCACTCTGTCTCTCGTCTTATTCCACTTCTTGCTGCCCCTGTTTGGCTCCCACCCGTTCCCCTCGCTCCAAATGAATGCCCTCGGCTTCCTCAATCTTGCTGTTAAATTAATGCCAGTAATTGTCTGATTCCAGCGGGAGTGTGTGAGAGAGACCCGCAGAGACAGCTTGAAGCAAGACCTCTGAGAGTGTATTTATATGGGACTGAGGGAGCCTCTGCTTTGAGGGCAGGACCAACCCCCATCCTCTCTGAAACAAGCAGCTATTGGCATGTACCAGAGAGGGATCAACAGCCTACACAAGTGCAAGAGGATGAGGAGGAGAGATATGAAGAGGTGGCGTCATTTTATCAGCTCTGCGCTGTTGCTGTGTGTCTAAGAACGACTGTGAAAAGAGATAGAAACATCTCAGAGTCTGCATGCAGCGTGCACAATGGATGGCCACTGATTCCAACAGGCACAAAACCACTTTCAGCACGTGGGACGTAATTACATTTTTTGACATTGAAAGATCACCCACAAGGAACCATTAAGTGCTACTTTTCCTCTTTTTCAAGTGTGTGACATTTAGAAGAAATGCTAAGCTACTGAGGGTAATCCACCAAACATGAGCCTAACCTTTACTAAATAATGGTTTGTGGCTATGCATCATGTGACACCTCCGTAATTGGAAAACAATATTAAATATCCTCACTGTAACAGCTGTGAAGCAACATGTGCACATTGGTAGGCTATATAATGCACTATAGTCTTTAATGGCAAGAGAGCAATGTTGTTTCAAAGCTGCAGTAATTTTTATAAAAATAACTTTTTGTCATATTTGCTGCACCTCAGGTAGGGGCACATCTAACACATGCAATTTCATTATCTGTTATTGCCACATTTTAGACAGGTGACAGGCTTAATACAATAAAAAAAAGACATGCATTTGAAAGAAATTCTAAAACAATGTTTCTGAAGCCACCTTTAGATATTTATATACAATGTTTTCCTATGTAATGTTTTGGATTTCAAATATCTTAATTTGGGGGCTTTTCCAAGCAAATATGTACGGATCAGCCATAACATTTCAACCACTGACTGGTGAAGTGATTAACACTGATTATCTGGTTGTCATGGCTCCTGTCAGTTGGTGGGCTATATTAGCAAGTGAACATTTTGTCCTCAAGTTGATGTGTTAGAAGCAAGAAAAATGGGCAGAGTGAGGATGTGAGTAAAGGGCCAAACTGTGATGGCTAGACGACGGATCACAGCATACACCACAAAACTCATGTAAACAGTAGGCGTTTTTTATGATTTTTTACCCACCACCACCACCCCCCTATTGGAGGACACTTTTTCTTTTCTTTTTTATTCTCTTCTTCATTATTATTATTATTATTATTATTATTATTGTTATTATATGATAATAATAATAACAGTAGGCGTATTTTAGCTGCAGAGGCCTAATCTGTGCCCATCTATCCAGATAAAAGTTTGTAGTATTTGTAGAGTGTGGAACCTCTCATTGCAAGGCACAGTACAGAGACAATATGAACAATATTGAGAGCCCACCAGATAGCCTAACAAATGGACAGACACACTGCCGCATCTGATGGCTGCGCCACTGCCGCGCATGGACGCACCATGACCAGCGCGGTAGAAAGAGTGAACACTTACGCTGGTCCCAGCACTATTCTCACCACCCCCGCTACTTCTACCACATCCATTAGCTCCCTTACTGACACTACGGGTTCGTGTAGTACTCCCACCTATGTTAGGCAAAGGGTCGTGTGTTTGTGCTTGTGTGCTTTTCTCGCTTTGCCCGGCAGCGCCAGTGCAAAGACGCACCGTGACTATCACGCTCACTAATCAACTGGCCGTCATCTCCCAAAGGTAATATTTCCCCTTCAGAATCAGAGTCAGCGAATAGGAGACCCATCACTTCCCTAAGCGTCAACTTTTTGCTTGCCATTTTCGTTTATTTCGTCTCAATAACTCCTAAATCTAGCAATATCACTTCAGCATAAATAGCGCCGTGGCACACTATTTCCGATTTCTCACCCAACAGTTTGGACGGGACTTCCTCGAACATTTTGCATTGAAACATGATGTCCTTCTGAGCTAAGGTCTAAGTATGGGATGTCTGCCAACCAGTGGAGGGGAGTATGAACGAGATATAACATTCTATTCGGAGAAAACTGCTGTTTGATTCATGGCCGCGTCCTGTTGCAATTTTGCGACTTTGGCACTTAAAGGGTTAAAGTCTCCATGTCACTCTCAGGCCCCCCTATAATTATTGCCCTAGATCCGCCCCTGGTGCATCTCAGCCAAGAAGAGATGAAGTGAAAGAAAACCCCCTTGGGGCCATCAATCATATTTCAAAATATTTCTGCTCCAGTACTGTGACAACGTTATTCTACTGCACTTCAATAAAAGATGTATACACTGCTGACTAACTATTTCAAACCTCTTTACATCCTAAGTGTCTTATGCTCTTTGTCCATTATAATAGCACACTATAATTGCTTTGTTTCCTTGCCAAAGAAAATGTTGATATGTGATGAGATGCTGTTATTTAGCAAATTGCATTCATTAGAAAGATGAGTGTCCACAGAAATTATGCCTACATTCATTTACTTTGTAAACTGTACAGGCAGAGTTTTTATGTAAATAAATATGTTTATATTTCTTTATAATGCAGGCCCCGCTCCAGCCAGTCTGTAACAAGATGTATTATTCCTCCTAGCTTCATCAACATGAGACTCGAGGGTGCAGCAGCTGTGGCCTTTCAAAGTTTGAAGTTTGACCTTTGAATTTTGTCCCCAATCACAGCGATTTGTAAGTAAGGCTAGATGTGAGCATTTTTGTTTATTTTCCTGTGTGTTGCAAACTTTAGAGGAGAAAAAAAGAAAGTGAAACCGTAGGCGTTTTTCTCTTTTTCCTCACTATGGAGCTCTCTTGAATGCATCGTGTTCCATCTCAAACTCTAATTAGCATTGATTCATTTTTGATCTGTGTTCCTGCAATGATCTGAAATCACCGCAATAAAAAATGGTGAAAGCCTGGTTTTAATGAGTGTCAATTTATTTGTTTTAGAAATGTTTGATTTCTTACTTACACTAATTGCCCTGCAAAAACAGCAGAAAAGCCTGTTTTTATCTGATTTGTTTTCTTGGTGTTATTTTGAATCTAACTTAACATATACCCAAAATGCTGTGGGCTTGTGTCAAACAATTATTTCACTCACTTTCAAACAGAACGAGCAGAATGGGAGAGCTGGTTAGTGGTTGGTTAACCTGCAGCATGTTGTGCACCAATGTGGCGTGCACTGCCATAACTTGATATTTGTGAAGGTGCTCTTTTTGATGAGAGTGTGGCGTGATGACTAGATGCTTTATAATTGTGAACTATTTTCTGTTTCTGTACGTCTCCACAGTTTGCCTTGCAAGAGGAACAAGTAGGTCAAAGCGCCTGGGGATCCTGTAAGCATTCTGACAGACTTCCAGATCTCCTGGAAGTTGGTCTCCAGAGGGGTGAAGGCAATATTTAGGGCAAAGCCCTGCACCGTAATCTCCTTCCTGCAGCTAGTGCATCAAAAAACTGGCAACAAGAAAAAATATATACGTATTTAATATATATGTAAAACAGGGAGATAAATACTGTAAATAAATATGATAAAGCTAGGGGAAGTTGATGAAGGCACAGATGAGTCTGTGATTCAGGCAGTTAGTTGCAACACTGTTTTTGAAAGATGATTGTACTTTCAATATGCATTGTTTGGCTTGTAGGTTATTTTAAGTACAGTAGAGTTATTGCTTTGCTAAAGCAAGTCCGTTATGGGAAAGCATCCTCTACCTTTGTCACTGCTACTGTTAGCACACAACAGCTTGCAGAAACTGTAGCAATTGTGGTAAAAGGGGCTCAGAGAGAGAGAGAACAAGGCAAAGGAAGTTGCAAAAAAAAAAAAGAAAAATAAAAGGCTCAGCCAAGCTGAATGGTCGGGTATTTTGTCTCTGGGTGTCTCAATGGGCAGCCTACAATGTGTGTTAATTCATCCTTCACAAAGAGCCTTGAAGCGAGGCTTTCCCAAACCAGCAAACAAATCACTTCCCTAGCTCAATTGATATTCCGTGGCTGATTCTCCAGTCTTTGTGTTGTGAAATGAACAGTGGAATAACAAACAGATTCAAGTTATAGGTGTAGTTCATTTACAGAGAGGTGACTTTGACTAAAACGCTTCATGCACACAGAATCCTTGCTTATTTTTCACCCGCTACATTTTTCTTTTTTTACCTACATACATTAACATGGCTAATGAAGTGTGTCAACAGTGCCTCAGCAGTTTCGGTTACATGTACTGCTGCTGTTACTGACCCTACAGTTCTATAACTGTCATGTAAAGACCAGGGGTCAGCAACCTTTACTATAAAAAGAGCCATTTCAGAACATATCTGTCTGGAGCCACAAAACATATTTGATCTCACGATCTCAGCCACTCTGTTCTGTATGTTCTGTACCAGGATAAGGTGTGCACATACCCTATGTCCTGTTGCTACTTATATGGACAACACACTGTGCATAAGGCACCAATAGTCAGAGGGGGCAACAAAACAGCCTAATGATCATCAATCATCATAAGCATAATGTTATAAACAAGATATTCCCTACCATTATGACACTTAGGCACTAAGCCTAAAGGTTTTTTCTCAGCACCATAACCATACGAAAATAACAACAACAAAAAAAGTAGAGGGAAGAGGCCAGAGGACCGGAAGACAAACTTACTGATGTAATGTGAAAAACTATAACCCTTTTTTAAATAAATACTGTAATTATAATAGCATAAATGTCAAATAACATTACATTTTATTGGGGGAAGAACCCCAGACAACACAACCCCCAACTGCAACCACGGCAGCTAAGCACCTCAGAAACCTGGGGAAAACTGAGATATATAGAAAAACATCATTCATGCAGATGTCAGGCAAGTGCTGGCCATCAGGCAAATCAGCCACCACAAAGCAATAATGCTTCGGCCACCCAAATGCAGTCCTCAGGCCCAAGTACTCCTGGTAGCCTATCCAGGTTTCTTAAAACTGGGATAAGGTCTTATCCAGGTTTCTGAAAACCAGAATGTGACATCTAAATGCACAGCAGATAACTGTGATATTCTAAAAACCATATAATACATGTAATAGAAATATATTATAA